CACCGGGGATGTGCCCACAACCAAGGTACATGCCCTTGACTGGAATCGAACCTGGGACCTTTCAGTCCTCAGGCCGATGCTCTATTCACTGAGCCAAACCGGTCAGGGCATTATAGTAATTTTTTTAAAAGACAAAACTTAATTAATTTTTTCTGTTCACAAGAATAAAAGTTCTTGTGGTATTATTGATCAATAATGTATTCCTTAAAATGAGCACCCATTTGGCTTTAAAAATGTTCCAATAGGAAAGCTTTTCAAATATTATTTCTTTTTTCTTAGTTATCATGCTTTATCCCTTTTTCAAAGAGGAAGGAAAAGGGGGAGAGAGATAGAAACATCAAGGATGAGAGAGAGTCATTGATTGGTTGCCTCCTGCATGCTCCACACTAGGGATCGAGCCCACAACCTCGACATGTGCCCTGAACAGGAATCAAACTGTGACCTTCTAGTTTATAGGTCAAAACTCAACCAGTGAGCCACACCAGCCAGATCATGCTTTATTTCTTAAAGCTGACATTCACTGTGTGCTTTTAAAAAGAAATCTTTATTCAGCCCTAGCCGGTTTGGCTGAGTGTCGGCATGGTGGACCCAAGGGTCCCGGGTTTGATTCCTGTCAAGGGCACGTACCTTGGTTGCAGGCTCCTCCCTGGCCCGGGCCCTGGTTGGTGCATGTGCAGGAGGCAACTAATTGATGTGTTTCTCTCACATTGATGTTTCTGTCTTTCCCTCTCTCTTCCATTCTCTCTAAAAAAAATCACTGGAAAAAATATCCTTGGATGAGGATTAAAAAAAAATTCTTTATTTAGACAAATTTAGTGTTGATTTTAAACTTGTCTTTAGATAAAAATAAGTATCTGTACTATACTAATCTACAGTACCAAAAGTAATTTTAAAATACTAGAAAATGTAATTCCCTGCACATCAAATTACAATTTCATTAATATTAAATATTGTCAGAGAAATATTATACCGTGAATTTCACTCAGAACAACTTTATTAGTTCATGTACTTCTATAATATTGCTTCAGTTTTTGTAAAAAATCCCTTGTAAAATACACTGTTATAATCAGTGCTTCTCAAACTCTCCTTTGAAACGTTTGTCTTTAGCCTTTTACTGGCCAGCACTGAACTGCTTAGAACAGTGGTTCTCAACCTTTTGACCCTTTAAATACAGTTCCTCATGTTGTGACCCAACTATAAAATTATTTTCGTTGCTACTTCATAACTGTAATGTTGCTACTGTTATGAATCGTAATGTAAATATCTGATATGCAGGATGGTCTTAGGCAACCCCTGTGAAAGGGTCGTTCGACCGCCAAAGGGGTCGAGACCCACAGGTTGAGAACCACTGGCTTAGAAGCTGCTCGCCATTCAAGGAGAAACTCATTTTTTCTCTTATCTTTTCCTGAGTTACGGTCTTATGTGATTTTCTTTCACTTTGGACAAAAGGAAAAAAAAACAAAATGTTTCACATACTCATTAGCCCCACCCTGTATATCCCGAGCACGTCACCATGTCACCAACACTGCACCCAGCGCCCTCACTGCAGGTGGGCCCCCCAGCATCAGAGTGGCATTCTGCTGGGTTAGGGATCCTCAGTTGGGAAGTAGGGGTAGAGGCCCAGAGGCCTGCCGTGACTTACTGGTGAGCTATTCTAGGGAAAGGAATCCTGTTTCAGTCGATGGAGGGGTGTGCTGATCCTTTTCCAAACCTTCCCTCAGAGCAGAAATTGTGTGTCTTAGTAAAAGGACACATCTCCCCTCATCATAGGTGGCAAAACCAGGCCAACAGGATTCCTAACTAAAAAGACTTTGAGAATGGAAAATGCAGGTATTAATCAAGCCCCCTCCTTTCTCAGCACACACACGCTCACACCTGCAGGACTGACTTGCAGATAAGACAGACCATCAGTGCCTGCGGCTTAAGCCAGCGGTTCTCAACCTGTGGGCCGAAACCCCTTTGGCGGTCGAACGACCCTTTCACAGGGGTCGCCTAAGACCATCCTGCATATCAGATATTTACATTACGATTCATAACAGTAGCAACATTACAGTTATGAAGTAGCAACGAAAATAATTTTATGGTTGGGTCACAACATGAGGAACTGTATTTAAAGGGCCAGAAGGTTGAGAACCACTAAGCCATATGGGTGTTTTTTTTTTCCTGTGGATTCACTAAAACTCAAGTCATATTGTGTGTCACCCAGGAAGTGGGGGAGAGACTGTGGCTGACACATGGGTGCTCTCATCCAATGACTGAGGGCTGACGGGAAGAGGAAGTTCACGGGTGGGAGGGGTCTCCTTGCTGGATGGGCTGGGCAAGCATCCTGGGACACACATCTACCTGGCTGATCCTCAGAATCACCTGGGGGAGATTTTTAAAAGGCAATTTCCTAAGTGGTTTCTGCTGATTCTCAGAATAGACCCAGGAATCTGTATATTTGCCAAACTCTCTAAGTCAGTGGTTCTCAACCTTGGCTGCACATTAGAATCACCTGGGAATCTTTTTAAAATCCATTTCTGGGCGCCTCATCCTCCGGAAATTCTGTTTCTTGTTACTAATGTTGTGGCCCCACCCCATAACAAAGAAACAGAATTTCCAGAGGATGAGGTCCAGAAATCAGGATTTTAAAAAGATTCCCCAGTGATTCTAATGTGCAGCCAAGGTTGAGAACCACTGCTCTAAGTAAACCTAGGATGAGGGCTGATATGGCAGGTTGGGAACCGCCTAGGCCTGGCTGCTGAGGGAGGTGCCCTCCAGCTCAGAGCCTCAGAGAGGGGCTCACGTCATGGTACATGCACTGCTCCATCAGAGACAGCCCAGGGCCTGTGGCAGCAGGATTCCCCCCAAGATGGGGCTCCAGGCAGCCACCGGCATTAACCTTGCTGATGCTTGAGATGAGCCCTGTTTGCATGTCTGGTCAGGGATAGAACGAGAACTTTCTGTACCCCTAGCACTCCCCAGTAGGCCAGACATAGCCCTTGCCATCAAACACAGAGCCTGGAGTGTTACTGAAGAGAAAATTAGGAACAGAAGGCAAGAATAAACGAGGGGATGATGAGGGGCAGGCAGACACTCGGAAAACATTTGGGAGGGGCTAAACCCGGACAGCATTAAGGGGAACCTAAAAGGGCAGCTGTCCGCTGGCAGAGCTTACAATGTACGCTGAAGGGGCACGCTTCTTGTCATTTTTCACTTTTTATTTACTTAGTATTGAGGTAAAATTGCTATAGTGTGTTTTGACTGACTTTTAAATGTGCACAGCTGCTAGTACAGATAGCTTACATATTCAATATACAATTCCTACTTATAGTAAGAAACATCCTTATGGGACCGATTTCCCAGCTTAGTTCTTTTCCTCACTCTTACAATTACCTAGAAAATAGGTATTAGGGTCTGAATTTCCTTGCAGATGAGCTCTCACCGTCTCTTTGGGCAAAAGTCAATGACAGCAGATAAGACATTTTTCTTGACGACCCCGCACCTGGAGTTCCCTCTCATCATTCCTCTAACCCAGCCTAAGCATCTCTAAAATCCTGATGACCGCCCTGTGACATATAATTCTTATTATTCAAAGAGTGAACTCCTATTCACGTGGAGGAAGCCTAAAAGGCCATTAACTTGGTCTAAACAAGCTTCCAAAGAACATGGCATCCATGAAAGAGAAAAATAGAATAACAAAAGGACAGTTGAAGTACTGAGGAAGAAATCACTAAGAAATTGTTTAAAAAAATAATAATATGAAGTAATATGAAAAATAGCAAATAAAGTTTCAAAACATGTAATAGAGAACTGAAATGCATAAATATGTCACAATATAGATTTATATACTGTATATGAGGCCCTAGAACCATAAGAAATGCCAAAAATTCACTGTTAATAACTCATTCTCGAATTGCCCCCCCTTAAAAATCAAAGTGCCCCACGTTGGGAGCCACTGCTCTAACCACTACCACACTTCAATCGTAGATTAAGTAAGGTGAACTGTAAAATCTGGGTGACCTTCTACATTTGAAAAGACCTTGCAGGGACTTCACGCTGCTCCTGAAGCTGCGACCAGCAGGCCCCTACCTGCCCCTCATGCCCCACATCCAACCAGGCCAAGTTGTAGTGATTCTACCTCTAAAACATTCCAACCTCCCCGCCACTGCCTTGACTCAGGCCATCTCCAGTCCTCCCCTCAGTTTCCCGCCTCATCTTCCTGCCAGTTCGACTTCCAACCTACGAGGGGATTCCAGTGTCCTTTCTAGACATTACGTGTGCACAGGTGTATGTGCACCTCTGTGTCTGTGCGTCAGGGTCGACACCCACTCCACCCTGGAACCACAGGATGCGGGGCGGGGTTACTGTTGACACTGCGGTCCCTTGTGGGTGGCACTCTCTGGAGAGGCACAGAGCACAACCCGCATAGCCCACATGGTGACCCTGCTCGTGGGGCAGGAGTGGTAACTGAATGCGTACAGCGACCCATACCACCCAAATCCCAATGGGGAGCTGCCTCCTCCCCCGCAGCCTGTCCCCACCCACCCTGTCCTGACGGAGTTGCCCCCTCTAGGGTGCTCCTCACCTCACTCCGGCCCTGTGCCCCCACGCAGGTGATGGACCAGAAGCTGTCAGGACAGAGAGCCGCACTGACGCAGGGCCAGAACCCTCTGCCCCTCTACTTGAGCCTCAATGTCAAAGAGAACGACCTGGAGACTTTGGACTTCAAGGGTACAGTCCTCAGTCCTGCCCACTCCACCCTCCCACATCCACACACGTGTGCACACCCACAGCTGCTCTGGACGCTGTGGGTCCCCAGAGAATTCAAACAGGAAGCTCCTGCAGAGATGGCCCAGCCTTCAGGAAGGGCGGTGGTTTTGGTGGGCTGAGGAGCCAGACAGTGGCGTTTGCCAGCCTGGAGGTGGGCGGGGTGGTGGTGATGGTGGTAATGGTGGTGAAGGTGTGGTCAAGGGGCTGGGTGGGGTAGTGGTCAGCTCATGAATCAGCCAGGCGGGGAGGAGGCTGGGGCCTGCTGGGGGCAGAATCTGAGACTCCTATCAGAGCTAGGGCTCCCCCTGCCCATTCTCCCCTCATTCGCACTCTCCCTCCTGCCCCTTAGAGTGGGTTGAGTTCTCCCCCTATGAGGTCGGATTCCTGAAGTACGGAGCCTTCGTCCCGTCTGAGCTCTTCGGCTCCGAGTTCTTTATGGGGCAGCTGATGAGGAGGCTCCCCGAATCCCGGATCTGCTTCCTGGAAGGTGAGGTCACCCTGAAGGCCCTGGCCAGGCCCGTGCCAGGCCTCCTTGACTGGCTGTGACTCCTGTGCTCAGGTCTGGCAGAGCCCCTGCGAGGGGCCGAGCGGGGCTGTGGGGAAGAGGCACTGCGGAGGCAGCCTGCCCCTCCTCTCATTTTCCACCTGCTCCCAGGGGTGGGGACCACTGGCTTCCAAGCCATGGCGGGCAGGGCGCTGAGGCCGGGGGCTGACCTTTCATGGGGTTTGGTCTTCAGGTATCTGGAGCAACATTTTCTCCCTGAATTTGCTGGATGTCTGGTATGACCTCACCAGCTCTGGTGATGCCTGGAAGCAACACATCGAGGACAGGATCAGCAGCCTGGGTAGGAAAAGGAAGCAGCAAGGGGAGCCTGGAATGAGATCGCCTCCCCTTCAGATGCCAGGGGTGGAGGATGTCAGAGGGAGGCAGGGCCAGGCATCGCCAGAACAAATGTCTGCTTCCCTGGGCCCAGAGGAGCCCCCTGCCTCCTTGAGGACCTCCTCATGGCTGGAGGCCTTGTGGCTGCAGCCCGGAACAGCACTGGCCCAGGCATTTAAGGGCTTCCTGACAGGCAGGCCGCTCTGCCAGCACAGCTCCAACTTCCTCCAGGGCCTGCAGCTGCACCAGGACTACCGCAACCAGAAAGAGTTCTCTACCTGGGCAGGTAAGGGGCACTGCCCTGGGTCCTTGGGCAACAAGGTTAGACTCCAAGGTGGAGCTGGACTGTGGCTGGAACTGGCAGAGGCCTTGGGGGTCATAGCATCCAATTCTGGGGTGTGGCCTGGAGAAGGTAATGGGAAGGGCAGGTGTCACGTGCATTCAGGGAGTGACACCAGAGGTCAGAAGGGGACACGGGAGCAAATACAATATGAAGGAGGGGGTTGTGAGTGGGTGATCCGTGGCAGAGTGGCTGCCCCTGACGATCTCTCCTCCCCCATCAGACAGCCAGCTAGACTCCACCCCTGGCCAGCTGACCCCGCAGGAGCCCCAGCTCTGCCTGGTGGATGCCGGCTACTTCATCAACACCAGCTCTCCCTCTATGTTCCGGCCAGGCCGCCGGCTGGACCTCATACTCTCCTTCGACTACTCCCCATCCTCGCCTTTTGAGGTGCTTCTGGTTGCTCAGCCGGACTGAGCTCCTGGGGCGAGCAGCAGGGCCCCTGGGCCACTGGCCCAGACCACTGTGTCCCAAAGGGAGGGAGGGGTGAGAGGCTCTGACCACATGCTCCTGCCAGGTCCGTGGTTGGAAAGGGCTGTGGAGGTGCTGGAGCGCTGGGCTCCCAGGACAGGTGGACAGGGAGGAAGCATGCCAGGCCTGCCCCTAAAGGAACAGCTGGTCAGAGCTGGGAGGAGACCCTGGCCCGTCCATATCCACCCCACCAGAGCCTCCCTGGGACTCTGGGGAAGTGGGGGATGGGGCCGTGACACAGAAGTGGGTCCCCTCCTGAGGCCCTCTAGGCTCTGGGACTTGAATAGCCCAGCAAGAGCAATCGAAATCGGCCGGAGGTGCAGGGTACCCCAACTAAAGATTCTAACCAAACAGCATGCAGATCCATGGCATCCTTTGCCTCCCTCTGAGCGTCACGGGGCCATGAACAGGAACCAGTTGTCAGGACACTGGGCAGGCAGTCTGGGCGGGAGCCATCCTAACGTTTCTAGAGCGCAGACCTGGCTGACCAGGAAGTAGCTGGTTCTCTCTGGGGCCCTCTCCCCAACCAGACGCTGCAGCAGACTGAGGTGTACTGCCGAGGCCTGGGGCTGCCGTTCCCCCGCGTGGAGCCCAGCCCACAGGACCAGCGCCAGCCCAAGGAGTGCCATCTCTTCTCGGACCCCACCTGCCCCGAGGCCCCTGTCCTGCTGCACTTCCCACTGGTCAATGCCTCTTTCAAGGACCACTCAGCCCCAGGTGAGGCAGCCCCTCCCTCCATAACAGCCTGGCAGCCTTGGGCCCTCCCCAGTGCCCCTGTGGCCAGCAGAGGGGGAGGACATGGCAGTGCCCACATCCCTGCAGGTGCCCTCTGTTTGCAAAGTCACTGTGCTGCTGTCCTCTTTGTCATGACCCCATGCTCTTGTGCCCCCCCTTCCCCTTGCCTAGCAAGTTCCCCTACCGACACCTGGGCCCCCAGCTCTCCTGTATCCGGAGGCCGCCTGCATTGTCACCGTCGGCAGCCTGCTCCACTGCTGCTCAGGCACCAAGTTGTTGGAGGAGTTCATAAAAGCTTCCCAGGCTAGACCGCCAGGAGAGCGAGGTCCCAGTCCCCCTCTCTCAGAGGCCCCTAAGCCCCCCTGGGGTTTCACTCGGCCTCTAGTGAGCTGGGCCTCTCTCTCAGTGAGCGAGGCCTCTGTCCGGGACCCCTGAAATCTAAACCCTATCACATTCCTTTCCATCCTTGCCTTCCACCAACTGGTCAGACTTTTCTCTCCTTTTGCTGGGAAAACCAAATTCCTGCCTTTGTGCATTATTCCTGGTTTTCTACCTCCCACCATAATTCCAGACCTTCCAGCTTTACTCTTAACATGCTCAGCACACATCTTGGAGTTCTCTTCTTCTCTCAGCAAATACTGGTCCTTGCAAAGCAAACACCCTTTGGTTTTCAGCCTCTTGTTTTTATCATTAAGAATCCATTCACTAACCTACTTGACTTTGTTGTCCTGGCTGTTTCCAGCTTACCCTTGAAGGTGACATAGATATATGAGGTTACCTGCATAGTGGAAGACGTGAATGCTACAAGGAAATGTGAGGAGCAGCAAACTCTTTGTATCTCAAAATAGTATCCTTCTACCCACATTTATATTTCTGGGCAAAAGACACAGAGGCCTGGGAGAGAAGCAAGGAGCCCCTTCAGTGGGGAGCAGCCCACCCCTGTGCCCAGCTGTGGAGGCCTCTGAGTGCTGCTCCTAATCCCCTCCTACCCCCGAGCAGGTATCCAGCGCAGCCCTGCAGAGCTACCGGCCGGCCAGGTGGATCTCACTGGGGCCACCTCACCCTACTCCCTGTTCAACATGACCTACAAGGAGGAAGACTTTGACCGCCTGCTGCAACTCAGCGATTACAATGTGCAGAACAGCCAGGGTGCCATCCTGCAGGCCCTGAAGATGGTTCTGAAGCACCAGACCCTGGGGGCCAGGCTGCCAGGGGCACAGTCTTGAGGCTGCGCAAGACGCCTTTGTCTTCCACATTTTACACTCCTGTCAGCATTGAGTGAGGGTTCCAGTTTTTCCACATCTTTGCCATACTTATTATTGTCTGTGTTTTTTATTATAATACTCCTAATGGGTATGAAGTGGTGTCTGCTATGCATTTCTCCAATGACTAATGATGTTAGGAATCTTTTCAGCCCCGACTGGTGTGCTTCAGTTGGTTGGACATTTGTCCCATGCACCCAAGAGTGGTCGGTTCAATCCCCGATCAGGACATTTGCCAGGGTTATGGGCTCGATGCAGCAGGCAGCAGATCTTTTCACATATTATTGGTCTTTTATATATCTTTGTGGAGAGCGGCTATAGCATTTGAACAGGTTCAAGCCTCAGAGTAATGAGAAGGCACGATCCTTTAGTGGCAAAGCCACATGCAAGTCCCACCTTGGAGGGCAAAGCCCTCCCAGCACAATTATAGCCAAAGGCTATGGTTGTAAGCTTGACCTTATGGTCCGAACCTGTGGTCCCAGGTGGCTGAGTGATATAGGCTTCAGGAGATGCAGCAAGTGCTGCCAAAACAAAGCTTGATAGAGTTCTCAGGTGCATGTAATTAAGTAGATTCGAAACTCACAAGAACATTGTAAACATGTTGACCATGCTCTTGCTTTGCCTTGTGGGATCTGACTATAAAATAAAGACTTGGCTTGCAGGCTGTGTCACTGTCTCTCCATCTGAGAACAGTGTCCCACCTGGTCCCAGCTATATTCTCTTGTCTGTTTTCTTTAATCCTTCACTGCCCCTCCTCAGGTTCACCACTGGCCGTGCTGAGCGTGGTTCAATCTTCATTAGAGAAATGCCTATTCAAATCTTTTGCCCACTTTAATTGGAGTATTTGTCTTTTTATTGTGGAGTTGTATGAGTTCTTTTTCTATTCTACATAGAAATCCCGGATCCAATGTATGATTTGCAGTTCTTCTCCCTGACTGTGGGTTGTCTTTTTACTTTTTTTAATTATTATTATTGATTTCAGAGAGGAAGGGAGAGGGAGATAGAGATAGGAACATCAATGATGAGAGAGAATCATCAATAGGCTGCCTCATGCACGCCCCCCACTGGGGATCGAGCCCGATACCTGGGCATGTGCCCTGACTGGGAATCGAACCATGACCTCTTGGTTCATAGGTTGATGCTCAACCACTGAGCCACGCTGGCCAGGCTTTTTATTTTGTTGATGATGTCCTTTGAAGCACAGTTTTTTATTTTGATGATGCCCAATTTAATCTTTCTATATATATTTTTTTTAGAATATATTTTTATTGATTTCAAAGAGGAAGGGAGAGGGAGAGATTGAAACATCAATAATGAGAGAGAATCATTGATCAGCTGCCTCTTGCATACCCCACACTAGGGATCAAGCCTACAACCTGGGCATGTGCCATAACTGGGAATCAAACCATGACCTCCTGGTTCTTAGGTTGATGCTCAACCACTGAGCCACACTGGCTAGGCTATATTTTCTTTTGTTACTTGTGATTTTATTGTCATATTTAAGAAACCATTACCTAATCTGAGGTCATGAAGATTTACTCCTGTTTTTTAGCTTTAGTCTTAGATTTGGGTCTTTGACTCATTTTAAGTTAACTTTTGTAAATGGTGTGAAGTACAGATTCGCCGTCACTCTTTTGCTCATGGATGTTAAGTTGAAAAGGCTGTTCTTGCTCCCATTGACTTGTCTTGATACCCTTGTTGGAAATCAATTAGCTGTAAATGTGAGGGTTGTTTCTGGACTCTGATTCTATGTCATTGATCTATTTGCCTGTCCTTATGCTGATACCACAGTGTCTTGATTACTGTAGCTTTATAGTAAGTTTTAAAATCAGGAAGTATAAAAAAATGAAATCAGGCAGTATACGTCCTCCAACTTTGTTCTTTGTTTTCCAGATTGTATTGGCTATTGAATTTCCATATGAATATTAAGATTAGCTTGTCAAATTGTGCAAAGAAGACAGCTACTACTTTGAAGGGAATTGAATTGAATCTGTAGATTAATTTGGGGGGTACTCTCATTTTAACAATTGAAAGTCTTCTGATTCATGAACATGTGATGTCTTTCCATTTATGTAGGTCTTCTTTCATTTCCTTCAACAATATTTGTAGTTTTTTGTGCAACAGTCTTAAACTTCTTTGATTAAATTCCTAAGTATTTTATTTTCTTTGATGCTAGTGTAAATTGAGTTATTTTCTTAATTTTATGTTTGTGTTGTTCATTGCTATTATAAAGAAATACAATTATTGTTTTTATATTGATATTATAGCCTGTAATCTTGCTGAACTTGTTTATTAGCTATAATAGGTGTTTTTTGTTTTTCTTTTTTTACTCCTTAGAATTTTCTACATATAAGAAGTTCATGTCACCGGCAAATAGAGGTGGTTTTCCTTCTTTCTTTTTATCTAAATGCCTTTTATTTCTTTTCCTTGTCTCTTCAGTATATTACTAGAACCTTCAGTATAATGTCGCATGGAAGTGGCAGACACCCCTGTTTGTGCCTAATTTGGAAGGAGAGCATTCAGTCTGCAACCACTAGTGTGACATTAGCTGTGGTTCTCCTTAGATGCCCTTCGGCAGGTTGAGGAAGTTCCCTTCTATTCCTACTTCGTTGAGTGTTTTTATCATGAAAGGAGTTGACTTTTGTCAAATGCTTTTTTTGTGTCTATTGACATAATTATGTAGTTTCTTCCTTTTATTCTGTAAATGTGATAGATTGGGATAATTGACTTTTTGGGTGCTCTCCTGGGGAAAACCCCACTTGGCCATGATTTACAGGGTGGGATGAAAGTAGGTTGACAGTTGTGAGTACCCGAAACACAGAGTTTATCTTGTAGTATAGTATTCTGCTAATCCTCACCTGAGGTTATTTTTTTTCATTGATTTTTAGAGAGAGTGAAAGGGAGGGAGGGAGAGAGAGAGAGAGAGAAACATCAATGTGAGAGAGACACATCAATTGGTTGCCTCCTGCACATCTCCAACCGGGGCCAGGGATTGAACCTCCAACGCAAGTACCTGCCCTTGATCGGGAATCAAATCCACGACCCTTTGGTGCGCAGGCTGATGCTATAACCACTGAGCAACATTAGCCAGGGCTTGTATTATTTATTAATTATTGTATTATTTTCCATACGAACAACTGTAAACCTCTTTTTGCCCAACCTCGTATAATCTTTTTTAGGTGTTGCTGCCACGCTCCCTTATGATCTTCCACACTCAAAAGGATACACACACACACACACACACACACACACACACAAGCTCACAACTATGGCTGCCCTCACCCCCTAGGTGGGTGTCACAGTGACAGACCCTGGCTCTGGGATTGTTCTCGTCTGATGACCTCCCTTCAGGGCCCTCTTCCCGCTGCCTGTTATGTACTTGGCTTTATTTTGATTCTGTAATTTCTCCATTTACTCAGGGACACTGATGTTTCGGTGATGATGGTACATACTGGCTGGAGTAGGAAAGCACTCCTGTATTTCTCCTTTACTCCTCACACAGGACACCGCTGACACTTCTGGTCACCAAATGAGTGGACTTTTCTCCCACACCAAGCAATTCTCTGTGACACCAGTTGGTGTCCTATAATTCAATGAAATTCTGAGTTAACATCAGATCCCACAAGTTAACGGATCAGCCTCGTAAGACAGCCTCCACTTCAGATGCCAATTGCAAGCTGCCAGCTGTTATCTGCACTTCTTACTAACTGGCTATAAATTGGGGTTCTACACCCCCTCCTTGGGTTCAATAATTTTCTGGAATGGCTCCTCGAACTCAGAAACACTTACTGATGTTTCCCAGGTTATTAAAGGGTATGATATAGGATACAGATGAGCAGCCAGGTGGAGAGGTACATACAGAGAGGTCTCGAGGGTCCCAAGTGCAGCTTCTATTCCCGTGGAGTCGGGGTACATCCTCCTCCTGGTGTGGATGTGTTAACCAACTTGTAAGCTCCCTGAACCGCATACTATTGGGATGTTTATGGAGGCTTCACATACACATGACCGATGATTCACTCCATTTCCAGCTCCTCTCCCCTGTACAGAGAATAGGCAGTGGGGGTGAAAGTTCAAGCTTCTATTGATGGCTTGGTTCTTTCCAGGGACCAGCCCCCAGCCAGAAGCCCACCAAGAATCGTCTCATTAGAACCAAAGATATTCCTGTTACCCAAGAAATTCCACAGAACTTAGTATCAGATGCTCCTATCGCTCAGGAAATTACAAAGGTCTTAGGAGCTCCGTGTCAGGAAGTGGGGTCAAAGAGAAATATCAGAACAAATGATCTCCTAGAACCCACTTTTTAAAACACTTATTTATTTTTTAATATATTTTTATTGATTTCAGAGAGGAAGGCGGAGAGGGAGAGATAGAAACATCAATGAATTGAAAGAAAAAAAACCACATAGTCATATCAGTTGATGCAGAAAAAGCATTTGACAAAATCCAACACCCATTTTTGATAAAAACTCTCAGCAAGGTGGGAATAGAAGGATCATACCTCAACATAATAAAAGCCATATATGACAAACCCACAGCCAACATCATACTCAATGGACAAAAACTAACACCATTTCCCCTAAAAACAGGAACAAGACAGGGATGCCCACTCTCACCACTCCTCTTCAACATAGTCCTGGAAGTATTAGCCATTGCAATTAGACAAGAAGAAGAAATAAAAGGCATCCAAATTGGAAAAGAGGAAGTAAAACTGTCCTTATTTGCAGACGACATGATATTATACATACAAAACCCTAGAGACTCCATCAAAAAACTACTAGACTTAATACATGAATTTGGCAATGTAGCAGGATACAAAATTAACCCCAAGAAATCTGAGGCATTTCTATACACCAATAGTGAACTTTCAGAAAGAGAGATTATAAAAACAATCCCATTTACCATCGCACCAAAAAAATTAAGCTACCTAGGAATAAACTTAACTAAAGAGGTAAAAGACCTCTACTCAGAAAACTACAGGA